AGACTTGCAGATGGAAGCAGGACCAAAGAACTCTGAGGGGAGACTGCTGGGAGAGGAAAGTGGACAGTGGAAGCATGTGACTAAGAGAGCCAGGCAGAGGAAAAGACGGGCTAGTGAAAGAGAAATAGAGCTCAGGAACAGGTTTGCGGAGTTGGAAAATGAAGAAGGGGCACAGGAGGTGGTCGCTGAAGGTGAGAGGGCAAAGAAGAAGAGAAGAGCAGCTAGTGCTATAGGAAGAGTCAATGGAGATAACAACACCAAATAGGAGCCCGAGGAGGATATGGGATGGGTTGCAGAGAAATCGAGAGGACTTGCACCCAGAGGGAGCAGGGGATAGACCGGAGAATCGCACCATCGCTAGGAAAAGGCAGGTCTACGTGATTGGGGATTCCTTACTGAAAAGAACAGACAGGCCCGTAACTAGAGCTGATCCAGAGAACAGAAGGGTGTGCTGTCTGCCGGGTGCTAAGATACGGGATGTGGACCTGAGGCTGAAGAGGATCCTAACAGGAGCGGGAAAGAATCCACTGATTGTCCTTCATGTGGGAACAAATGATACGGCTAGATTCTCACTAGAACGTTTCAAGGGAGATTATGCCAGACTGGGGAAGATGCTTAAGGAAATCGAGGCTCAGGTGATCTTCAGTGAGATTCTGCCTGTTCCTAGAGAAGGGCAAGAAAGGTGTAACAAGATTATGATGATCAACAGATGGCTCAGGCAGTGGTGCTATAAGGAGGGCTTTCGGATGTATGGCCACTGGGAAGCATTCATGGACAGAGGACTGTTCTCTTGGGATGGACTTCACCTGACTAGGGTGGGAAATAGACTTCTAGGATGGAGGCTGGCACAACTGATTAAGAGAGCTTTAAACTAGGAATTTGGGGGAGATGGTTGGGAGATGTCCAGGTAATCTCCATGCCGGATTTTAACATTGAGAGGGAAGAAAATGAAGCAAGAAAGGATACAGCCGTGGGTAGGAGAATGGACATAAGGAGGAAGGGTAGTGTAGATACCAGTCTAATAGGTGATACTGGTGGTAGACTGTCCGTGCCTAATCGGGTAAAGAATGTGAGAGAAACCAAAGAGCAAAAATTAAGATGTTTGTACACTAATGTGAGGAGCCTAGGTAACAAAATGGGGGAACTAGAGCTATTGGTGCAGGAAGTGAAACCAGATATTATAGGGATAACAGAAACATGGTGGAATAGTAGTTGGGACTAGTATGTGCTGTTTAGAAAAGACAGAAATAAAGGCAAAGGTGGTGGAGTAGCATTGTATATCAATTGTGAGGTAGACTGTAAATAAATAAGAAGTGATGGAATGGATAAGACAGAGTCTGTCTCAGCAAAAATCACATTGGGGAAGAAAGGTACTAGAGCCTCCCCTGAGATAGTGCTTGGGGTGTGCTATAGACCGCCGGGATCCAATTTGGATAAGGATAGAGACCTCTTTAATGTTTTCAATGTAGTAAATACTAATGGGAATTGTGTGATCATGGGAGACGTTAACTTCCCAGATATAGACTAGAGGACAAGTGCTAGTAATAATAATAGGGCTCAGATTTTCCTGGATGCGATAGTTGATGGATTCCTTCACCAAGTAGTTGCTGAACCAACAAGAGGGGACGCCATTTTAGATTTGGTTTTGGTGAGTAGTGAGGACCTCATAGAACAAATGGTTGTAGAGGACAACCTTAGTTCGAGTGATCATGAGCTAATTCAGTTCAAACTAAATGGAAGGATAAACAAAAATAGATCTGTGACTATGGTTTTTGATTTCAAAAGGGCTAACTTTAAAAAATTAAGGAAATTAGTTAGGGAAGTGGATTGGACTGAAGAACTTGTGGATCTAAAGGCGGAGGAGGCCTGGAATTACTTCAAGTCAAGGTTGCAGATAAAGTGAGAGAGGCCAAAAGCCATGTAGAGTTGCAAAGGGAATTAAAACCAATAGTAAAATGTTCTATAGCCAGATAAATAAGAAGAAAACAAAGAAAGAAGAAGTGGGACCGCTAAACACTGAGAATGGAGTGGAGGTTAAGGATAATTTAGGCATGGCCCAATATCGAAACAAATATTTTGCCTCAGTCTTTAATGAGGCTAATGAGGAGCTTAGGGATAATGGTAGGATGACAAATGGGAATGAGGATATGAAGGTAGGTATTACCACATCCGAGGTAGAAGCCAAACTGGAACAGCTTAATGGGACTAAATTGGGGGCGCCAGATAATCTTAATCCAAGAATATTAAAGGAACTGGCACATGAAATTGCAAGCCCATTTGCAAGAATTTTTAATGAATCTGTAAACTCAGGGGTTGTACCATATGACTGGAAAATTGCTAACATAGTTCCTATTTTTAAGAAAGGGAAAAAACGTGATCCGGGTAATTACAGGCCTGCTAGTTTGACATCTGTAGTGTGCAAGGTCTTGGAAAATATTTTGAAGGAGAAAGTAATTAAGGACATTGAGGTCAATTATAATTGGGACAAAATACAACATGGTTTTACAAAAGGTAGATCGTGCCAAACCAACCTGATCTTCTTTGAGAAGGTAACAGATTTTTTAGACAAAGGAAATGCAGTGGATCTAATTTACCTCGATTTCAGTAAGGCATTTGATACGGTTCCACACAGGGAATTATTAGCTAAATTGGAAACAATGGGGATGAATATGAAAATTGAAAGGATAAGGAACTGGTTAAAGGGGAGACTACAACGGATCATACTGAAAGGTGAACTCTCAGGCTGGAAGGAGGTTACTAGTGGAGATCCTCAGGGATCGGTTTTGGTACCAATCTTATTTAATATTTTTATTACTGAGCTTGGCACAAAAAGTGGTAATGTGCTAATAAAGTTTGTGGATGACATGAAGCTGGGATGTATTGCCAATACAGGGAGGGACCGGGATATCATACAGGAAAATCTGGATGACCTTGTAAACTGGAGTAATAGTAATAGGATGAAATTTAATAGTGAAAAGTGCAAGGTCATCCATTTAGGGATTAATAACAAGAATTTTTGTTTTAAACTGGGGACGCATCAGTTGGAAGTAACAGAGGAGGAGAAGGACCTCGGAGTATTGGTTGATCACAGGATGACTATGAGCCGCTAATGTGATATGGCTGTGAAAAAAGCTAATGCGGTCTTGGGATGCATCAGGAGAGGTATTTCCAGTAGAGATAAGGAGGTCTTAGTACCGTTATACAAGGCACTGGTGAGACCTCATCTGGAATATTGTGTGCAGCTCTGGTCTCCCATGTTTAAGAAGGATGAATTCAAACTGGAACAGGTACAGAGAAGGGCTACAAGGATGATCCGAGGAATGGACAACGTGTCTTATGAAAGGAGACTCAAAGAGCTTGACTTGTTCAGCCTAACCAAATGAAGGCTGAGGGGAGATATGATTGCTCTCTATAAATATATCAGAGGGATAAATAGGAAGGAGGGAGAGCAATTATTTAAGCTCAGTACCAATGTGGACACGAGAACAAATGGATATAAACTGGCCATCAGGAAGTTTAGACTTGAAATTAGATGAAGGTTTCTAACCATCAGAGGAGTGAAGTTCTGGAATAGCCTTCCAAGAGGAGCAGTGGAGGCAAAAGACATATCTGGCTTCAAGACTAAGCTTGATAAGTTTATGGAGGGGATGGTATGAATTGATAGCCTAATTTGGGCAATTAATTGATCTTTGACTATTAGCGGCAAATATGCCCAATGGCCTATGATGGGACACTAGATAGGGTGGGATCTGAGTTACTACAGAGAATTCTTTCCTGGGTGTCTGGCTGGTGAGTCTTGCCCACATGCTCAGGGTTTAGCTGATCGCCATATTTGGGGTCGAGAAGGAATTTTCCTCCAGGGCAGATTGGCAGAGACCCTGGGGGGTTTTCGCCTTCCTCTGCAGCATGGGGCACGGATCACTTGCTGGAGGATTCTCTGCACCTTGAAGTCTTTAAACCACAAGTTGAGGACTTCAATAGCTCAAACATAGTCAGGGGTTTGTTACAGGAGTGGGTGGGTCAGATTCTGTGGCCTACATTGTGCAGGAGGTCAGACTAGACGATCATAATGGTCCCTTCTGACCTTAAAGTCTATGAGTCTATGAGGCTATATGCACAATAGCGCACCAAAGGTGGTATATGAGCTCTCTACCAAGTGCCAGCAGGCCACTGGTCAACCTAATGGGAGCAAGATGTTTGTATGGGACAAAATTGAAGAGAGATGTAAAATGTAGCATATGACGCTCCAGAAGTGTGGAAGTGAAGCTTGTCACCTGCGCCATGGCAATCCCTTCAGCTGAGCCAATCAGCACATAGAACAATGCACAGCTGTAGAGACAGGCTGTGTTCACTGCCTCGGCCCAGTGGGGGCCTAAGAATTTACAAAGACAAAGGACCCTTAGCACAAGTCTCCGAAGACAGACCGCCTCTGGAAGAGAAAATGGTCTGTACCTACAAAGAAAGAGGAGAGGGGACAAGAGCTCCCAGGAGGCGGCTGACAGCATTTCTCTCAGGAACAGGAGATCACAGCTAAACCTGGAGTAAAACCCTGGAAGGACTGTGGGGTGAGCGTTGCTCTACCAGACAGAAAAGTATCTCATTCAACGTGTCTAGGCTCTAGTCAACATGTTATAATTTTATTGGCCATAGAACCATTTCTTTCCAACCCTTCTCCTTCCTACCCCTCAACTCTCTACACTCTGTGAAATCACTTGTCCTTGGTGTGACTATGAAGGGATCTCGAGCTGTGTGTTGATTGGGGCAGAGATGGGAGGTGGAGCTGGTCACCTTGGAACCTTGTTCCTTTGTGACTGCTGTGAATGCCCAGTGGGACAGGGACTGGGTGCTGCAGGGGTACGCTCAGACAGCTGAGGGGTGAAGTGTGCCTATTGCCAACATGGAGAGATGTCACCCTTCTCCCAAAGGCCTAGAGGGCACGGCTTGTGTGGCCTGTGGCCGAGGGAGTTAGGGAGCTACCCCGCAGCAGGCACAGACAAGGCTTCCTCATTCTAGGGGCCCAAGGCACCGCGGTGGGCCATCAGGGCCAGTATAACTGCAAAAGGAGAGGGCCCCCAACTGACACCCCCCTACCTGCAGTACAGGCCTTTATCACCATGCTGGGGCACTAGGGTCAGTGCTGACTCAGGGTAGGTCGGATCAGCAGGTAGTAATCGATCTATCGATTTATCGATTTATCGATTTATCCGTGATGGCACTCCTTGTCGACTCCAGAACTCCAGCTTGCGAGAGGCAGAAGCAGAGTTGATGGGGGAGCGGCAGTGGTCGACTCACTGCCGTCCTCACGGCCAGGTAAGTCGACCTAACATACGCCCCCCCCTCCACCCCGTAGTGTAGGCCAGGGCTCAGACAGGAGAGCTGGGTCTGTGCTGAAACCTTCCCAGCCCGATCCCTGCACCACCCACAGTGACGTGATGGATGCAAGTTACCTGAGCACACAACACCGGCATCTTTTCTGTGGTTACAGTTATTCTCTCCCCAAGGCCGAGCCCTGCAATCAGAGAGGGCAACTTCTGTCCCTGTGCAGTGAACGTCATCCAGCCAAATATGGTCAGATCCTTGCCCAAATCGAGCCCCTCCTGGGGATGATAACGCCGTCCCACAGCCCAGCTGCCTGCATATGACTCCAGCATCCTGTAAGTCCCAGTTGTCATCACACACGGTTCCCCACTGCTGGTTGTGAAGCACCTCGACCCTCCCAGCGCAGCGGCTCGGGCTGTTCACCAGTCGGAGCTGAGCCACTTCTGAGCTGCCAGCGTCTGCAAACACCCAAGGGAATAAACACTCAGGGAGGTTCCTGTGCATCTGATCTCTCAAGTCACTGGGGAACGTAGCGCCTCCCGCTGATGGATCTGACCGGTCTCTACACACAGCCACTGCCTGACAAAAGATCCCCACCACTAACCAGGCTAATCACTTGGGCAATGCTGAAGTTTGTCCACTTCCCTCGCAGCCAGCTGTCACCTAGTTAGGCAGACTGGACGGCAGTCTGACCTACTGCTCCCACTAGAGCACTTAAAAAGATCACCCCTGCACTGCTGGCAGGAACCTCCTGATGAGCAGATTTACACCCTCACTCCTGGCGCTGGTATTCGCTCCAGTGCGATACTGTGCAGTTGTGTGGGGCAGATGCTGGCATAAGCATCTTGGTGACTGGGAGCTGAACACAGTCACCCATGTCATTAGTGGTTGCCTTAGCCTGACATCAGTATTGAATTTACATGCGTTGGCTCCATAGCTCCCTGAAAACCTCACCCAGAGTCCATCCCCCTTAGAACTGCCTGGAGCGCAGGGACGGCTGGCAGGAACCTGCTGCGCACCAGGCTGACAATGGTTCCTACCAGTGCAGAGGCAATGCACACTTCCTACAAGCAGATCGGCCCCTCCTGAAGCAAACACCTGCCCCTGCGGTTCCTCCAGACTTGTCATGACTGACTTGGCAACATCGTTTTATGGCAGCAATTGCTGCACTCATGTCTAGTGCTGCCAGCCCAGTACCAGTTTCAGATGAATGATGACAGAGCTGGGCTGACAGCTGTGTCCTCACAGAGGGGCAGCAACTCTGGGATACAGAGACTGGTGTGCTGATGGATTTTCAGAAGCCCTAACTTGTATTTACAACCTGTGATGCAGATCCTGGGCTAGGTTTAATGGGCCCCTGACTGGACTGGCCAGAGGGACTGCTGCAGTGCAGAAACGTGGCTTAGCCTGATCTTCTCAGTGTGCCTGTGGGGAGCAATACAGACAGTCACATGTGGTGGAGGAGAGCCCCGTTAGAAGACTGGACCTTGAGGATGCACAGTCAGATGGCTGAACAAGCTAGAGGTAAGCAAGGTCGGAATGAGCTCTCCCCTGACAGCTCTGTGAAATCACTTGTCCTTGGTATCACTATGAAGGGATCTAGAACTGTGTCTTGATTCAGGCAGAGATGGGAGGTGGAGCTGGTCACCTTGGGACCCTTTTCCTTTGGGTGTATCAGACCTGTGACTGCTCTGAATGCCCAGGAGGACAGGATCTGGGTACTGCAGGAGGACCCTCGGAGGGCGGAGGGGTGAAGTGTGCCTATTGCCAACCCGGAGAGAGGTCACCCCCCAACACAAGGCCTAGAGGGCACGGCTTGTGTGGCTTGTGGCCGAGGGAGTCGGAGAGCCGCCCCCCCAGCGGGCACAGACAAGGCTTCCTCATTCTAGGGGGCCATGGCACCGCACCGGGGTATTAGGGCCAGCACAACTGTAAAGGGAGACGCCCCCTACTGACACCCCTCTACCTGCAGCACAGGCCCCCTAGCACTACACTAGGGCACTGGGGCCAGCACTGAGTTCAAGGGGAGAGCGTGAGTGTCCCCTACTGAGCCCTCACACCGCTCCCTCTAGCATAGGCCCATAGAACCGCACAGGGGAATTGGGGTCAGCACAGACTGAGAGGAGAGCATTCCCTACTGGAACCGCCATATTGCTCCCTCAAGCATAGGCCCCAAGCACCATGCTGGGGTCAGCACTAGCTGTGAGGGGACAATGTCCTGTAAGGAGCTTCCCACCCTGCTCCCTGCAACACACACGGTGGTAGATGAGAGTTACCTGAGCACACAACACCGGCATCTTCTCCATGGTTACAGTTATTGTCTTCCCAAGGCCGAGCCCTGCAATCGGAGAGGGCAGCTTCTGTCCCTGTGCAGTTGACGTCATCCAGCCAGATAGGGTCTGATCCTCGCCCAAATCGAGCCCCTCCTGGGGCTGATAACGCCGTCCCACAGCCCAGCTGCCTGCACACTACTCCAGCATCAGTTATGTCCCAGCCGTCATCACACACGGTTCCCCACTGCTGGTTGTGAAGCACCTCGACCCTCCCAGCACAGTGACTTGGGCCATTCACCAGTCGGAGCTGAGCCGGTTCTGAAATGCCAGAGTCTGCAAACACCCCAAAGGAATAAACACTCAGGGAGGTTCCTGTGCATCTGATCACTAGTGTCACTGGTGAACGTAGGGCCTCCCACTGATGGGTCTGAACAGCCTCTGCAACAGCCTGTTAGGGGTTCAGTCCCTGTCAACTAATCGCAGTTAACTCAAGCAATTAACTCAAAAAATTGTGATTAAAAAAATTTATCACAATTAATCGCAGTTTTAATCGCACTGTTAAACAATAGAATACCAATTGAAATTTCTTGAATATTTTGGATGTTTGTCTATGTTTTCAAATATATTGATTTTAGTTACAACATAGAATACAATGTGTACAGTTCTCACTTTATATTATTACAGTTGAAGTTCTTTTATCCGGCATGTTGGGAGAACGGGGGGTGCAGGTAAATGAAAAATGCCGGTTAACTAAGAGGCAGGGAGTTTGGGTGCGGGAGGGAGTGCGGGGCTGGGGGTTGGGGTACGGGAGAGGGTGTGGATCAGGGGCTCTGGGAGGAAGTTTGGGTGTGGGAGGGGGCTTAGGGCAGGCAGTTGGGGTGCAGTATGGGGTGCATGGTGCCGGATCCGGGGGCTACTCACCTCGGGCAGCTCTCCACAAGTGGCAACTTGTCCCGGCTGCTCCTAGGGGGAGGAGCGGCAGGCAGCTTGGCGCACTCCCTCCTTCCGCAGGCGCCGTCCCCGCAGCTCCCATTGGCCATAGTTCCCAGCCAATGGGAGCTGTGCAGACAGCACTGGGTGGAGGCAGCATGCAGAGCCACCTGACGCGCCTCTGGTTAGGAGTAGCCGGAGCCTGGGACAGGTCGCCGCTTGAGGAGAGCAATCCAAGGTGAGCGGCCCCCGGATCCTACACCCTGCACCCACTCCCACCTACTAAGCCCCCTCCCACACCCAAGTCCCTGTCAGAGCCCACGCTTCACACCCCGTCCTGTACCCCAACACCCTGCTGGCCCCGCACCAACCAGACTATAAAGCGGCATTTCAATGAAGATCAGAAATGCCGATATATAGAGCTTTCTGGTTGATGAAGTGCCGGAAAATAAAGCTTTTACTGTATTTTGTATTACAAATATTAGCATTGTAAAAGTGGTAAAAGAAATAGTATTTTGCAATTCACCTCATACAAATACTGTAGTACAATCTCTTTATTGTAAATGTGCAACTTACAAATGTAGATTTTTTTCGTTACATAACTGCACTCTTAAAAAAAAACCAATGTAAAACTTAGAGCCTACACACATCCTCTCAGTCTTACTTCTTGTTCAAGCAATCGTTCAGACAAACAAGTTTGTTTACACTTCGGGCGATAACGCTGCCTGCTTCTTATCTGCAATGTCACCCGAAAGTGAGAAGAGGCATTCGCATGGCACTTTTCCAGGTAGCATTGCAAGGTATTTACGTGCCAGATATGCTAAACTTTCATGTGCCCCTTCATGCTTCGGCCACCATTCCAGACGACATGCTTCCGTGCTAATGATGCTCGTTAAAAAAGTAATGTGTTGATTTAATTTGTGACTGCAATCCTTGGGGGAGAATTGTGTATCTCCTGCTATGTATTTTACCTGCATTCTGCCATATCTTTCATGTTACAGTAGTCTCGGATGATGACTCAGCACATGTTGTTCATTTTAAGAACACTTTCACTGCAAATTTCACAAAACACAAAGAAGGTACCAATGTGACATTTCTAAAGTTAGCTACAGCACTTGACCCAAGGTTTAAGAATCGGAAGTGCCTTCCAAAACCTGAGAGGGACGAGGTGTGGCGCATGCTTCCAGAAGTCTTAAAAGTGCAACACTCGAATACGGAAATTACAGAAGCTGAACCACCAAAAAAGAAAATCAACTTTCTGTTGGTTGCATGTGACTCAGATGATGAAAATGAACATTTGTCGGTATGCACTGCTTTGGATTGTTATCGAGCAGAACCCATCATCAGCATGGACGCATGTCGTCTGGAATGGTGGTCTAAGCATGAAGAGACATAAGAATTTTTAGCGCATCTGGCACATAAATATGTTGCTACACCAGCTACAACAGTGCCATGTGAATGCCTGTTGTCACTTCCAGGTAACATTGTAAACAAGAAGCAAGCAGCATTATCTCCTGCAAATGTAAACAAACTTGTCTGTCTGAGTGAATGGCTGAACGAGATGTAGGACTCAGTGGACTTGTACGATCTCAAATTTTACATTCTTTTATTGTTGATTGCAGTTATTCTTTGTAAATCATTCTATATTTGTAAGATCAATTTTCCAGATAAAGAGATTGCACTACAGTACTTGTATGACGTGAATTGAAAAAACTATTTCTTTTGGTTCTTTTTTACAGTGAAAACATTTGTAATCAAAAATAAATATAAAGTGAGCACTGTACACTTTGTATTCTGTGTTGTAATTGAAATCAATATATTTGAAAATGTAGAAAAAATCCCCTAAAATTGAAATAAATGGTACTCTATTATTGTGTAAAGGGGCGATTAATTGTGTGATTAATCATGATTAATTTTTTATCTAACAATTAATCATGATTTTTTTTAATAACTTGACAGCCCTACTCCCCACCACTACCATGCAGCCACCTGTGGGGTGGAACAGGGTAGACGAGAGACAGGGCACAGAAACTCATGGGCTGTGTAGGAGAGGAAGTGAGGAAGAACCCTGTCTCCAGTCACAGCAGTGGGGCATATTCCAGGTTCAGGGGTAATTAGCTGAGATGGAAATCACCCGGAGTGACGGGGATAGGAACTCCACACTTCATAAAGGGATCCCTGAGAGGCTGCAGGATCCATTCAACCCCAAATCCCACAAATGGGATCTACGGTTACCCAGTGCCCCATTGTGCTGTAGCGGAGCAGGGGGGTCAGAGCAATCAGCAACGGGGAGGGTCATAGAATCATAAAATATTAGGGTTGGAAGAGACCTCAGGAGGTCATCTAGTCCAATGCCCTGCTCAATGCATTATCAATCCCAACTAAATCATCCCAGCCAAGGGTTTATCAAGCCGGGCGTTAAAAACCTCTAAGGGTGGAGATTCCATCACCTCCATAGTTAACCCACTCCACTCCTTCACCACAGAGGCACCACAGAGGGTGCTTAACCACAGATGGTCTCTCACAGAGGCACATGTACTGCTCCCTGCAGGCCCTAAGTGCTGTGCTGGGGCACTGGGGCCAGCACTGACTTTGTGGGGAGAGTGCCCCCTGCTGAGCCCCCATCCCGCTCCCTGCAGCACAGGCATGTGGAACTGTGTGGGGGAAATGGGGTCAGCGCTGACACTAGGGGAAGAGTGACACTTACTGTGACAGTGAACCTGCTCCCTGCAGTACAGGCCCTTAGCATCATGTTGGGGCACTGGGGTCAGCGCTGACTCAGACAGGAGAGCTGGGTCTGTGCTGAAAGCTTCCCATCCTGATCCCTGCACCACCCACAGTGATGTGATGGATGCAAGTTACCTGAGCACTCAACACCGGCATCTTCTCCGTGGTTACAGTTATTGTCTCCCCAAGGCCGAGCCCTGCAATCAAAGAGGGCAGCTTCTGTCCCTGCGCAGTTGACGTCATCCAGCCAGATACGGTCCGATCCTCGCCCAAATTGAGCCCCTCCTGGGGCTAATAACGCCGTCCCACAGCCCAACTGCCTGCACACGACTCCGGCATCCTGTAAGTCCCAGCTGTCATCACACACGGTTCCCCACTCCTGGTTGTGAAGCACCTCGACTCTCCCAGCGCAACGACTCGAGCTGTTCACCAGTCGGAGCTGAGCCACTTCTGAAATGCCAGAGTCTGCAAACACCCCAAGGGAATAAACACTCAGGGAGGTTCCTGTGCATCTGATCTCTCGTGTCGCTGGGGAACGTAGCGCCTCCCGCCGACAGATCTAACCGGTCTCTGCACACAGCCACTGCCTGTCGAGGGCTCCCTACCACTGACCAGGCTAATCACTTGGGCAATGTTGAAGTTTGTCCACCCCTCTCCCAGCCAGCTGTCACCTAGTCATCTGGGCCAGCACTGACTTCATGGGGAGTGCGTGACCATCCTCTACTGAGCCCCCACACTGCTCCCTGCACCACAGACCCATAGAAGCTCACAGGGGAATTAGGGTCAGCACAGTCTGAGAGGACAGCGCTCCCTAGTGGAATCGCCATATTGCTCCCTGAAGCACGGGCGCCAGGCACCATGTTGGGGTCAGCAGTGACTGTGAGGGGACAATGCCCTTTAATGAGCTTCCCACCCTGCTCCCTACAACATGCATGGTGGTAGATGAGGGTTACCTGAGCACACAACACCGGCATCTTCTCCGTGGTTACAGTTATTCTCTCCCCAAGGCCGAGCCCTGCAATCGGAAAGGGCAGTTTCTGTTCCTGCACAGTTGACGTCATCGAGCCAGATACGGTCCAATCCTCGCCCAAATCGAGCCTCTCCTGGGGCTGATAACGCCGTCCCACAGCCCAGCTGCCTGCACACGACTCCAGCATCAGTTATGTCCCAGCTGTCATCACACACGGTTCCCCACTGCTGGTTGTGAAGCACCTCGACTCTCCCAGAGCAGCGACTCGAGCTGTTCACCAGTCGGAGCTGAGCCACTTCTGAAATGCCAGAGTCTGCAAACACCCCAAGGGAATAAACACTCAGGGAGTTTCCTGTGCATCTGATCACTAGTGTCACTGGTGAACGTAGGGCCTCCCACTGACGGGATTGAACAGCTTTTGCAACAGCCTGGTAGGGGTTCACTCCCTGTCAACTAATCGCAGTTAACTCACGCAATTAAGGTTGTTTTATCCAGCATGTTGGAGGTCTGGGGGGTGGTGGTAAATGAATAATACTGGTTAACTAAGAGGGAGGGAGGCAATGTTGAAGTTTGTCCACCCCCCTCCCGGCCAGCTGTCACCTACCTAGGCTGTCACCTAGTTAGGCAGACTGGACGGCAGTCTGACCTACTGCTCCCACTAGAGCACTTAAAAAGATCACTCCCCACACTGCTGGCAGGAACCTCCTGGGGAGATTTACACCCTCACTCCTGGCACTGGTATTCGCTCCAGTGTGATACTGTGCAATGCTGAGGGGCAGACGCTGGCATAAGCATCTTGGTGATTGGGAGCTGAACACAGTCACCCGTGTCATTAGTGGTTGCCTTAGCCTGACATCAGTATCGAATTTACATGTGTTGGCTCCATAGCTCCTTGAAAACGTCACCCAGAGTCCATCCCCCTTAGAACTGCCTGGAGCGCAGGGACGATTGGCAGGAACCTGCTGCGCACAAGGCTGACAATGGTTCCGACCAGTGCAGAGGCAATGCACACTTCCTACAAGCAGATCGGCCCCCTCCTGAAGCAAACACCTGCCCCTGCGGTTCCTCCTGACTTGCCACGACTGACTTGGCAACATCGTTTTGTGGCAGCCATTGCTGCACTCGTGTCTAGTGCTGCCAGCCCAGTACCAGTCTCAGATGAATGATGACAGAGCTGGGCTGACAGCTGTGTCCTCACAGAGGGGCACCAGCTCTGGGTTAGAGAGACTGGCGTGTTGATGGATTTTCAGAAGCCCTAACTTGTATCTGCCCATTTACAACCTGGGACACAGATCCTGGGCTAGGTTTAATGGGCCCCTGACTAGACTGACAGAGAAATTTGTGTAATGCAGAAATTTGGCTTAGCCTGAATTTCTCAGTGTGCCTGTGGGGAGCAATACAGACAGTCACACGTGGTGGAGGAGAGCCCCGTTAGAAGACTGGACCTTGAGGATGCACAGTCAGATGACTGAACAAGTTGGAGGTAAGCAAGGACAGAATGAGCTCTCCTCTGACACTAGTGATGAGCTGGGGACGGAGAAAGGCTTCAGGATCAGACTGTGTTTACAAGAACACACCCACTCTGCCTAGGTATCCAGCAGACAGAGCTGTGATGGCTGGTGCTGGTTTCTAAATCACTGTATGACGCTACTCCGGTCTCATGAGACAGCTCATGGCGTCCAACACCATTAGGTCGTCCAGAGACATCTATACGGAACAGATCACGGGACACCATCAATACCACATTGCGTAATTGAGACCGCCGACCAGGGAAATAACCCACTTCCTTCCCTGATGAATCAAGGGACGCACCCCACCCATGTACTTATTCGCTATACTGATACTGACTTGGACTCTTAATACATTCCATGGGTGGCGTACCCGAGCCCACTTATCCACTGACGCTTTAAAAACTCCTGCACACCAATCTGGGTCTATGCTGGTTATGTGATATGTGTGTATCTCGTGATCCTTGTAACCAATACCTGTAATCCCTCATAACTCAAGCCTGACCCCAGATGTACAGTACCTTCCCTCTTAACTTGTGTATATTACATTTTAAACATTAACTTTAATAAAACTTTTAAATCTGTTCTTGAATGCAGGGGTTGGTAAAATGTTGTTGTCCTGATTGTCTGAGTAAAGGGCAGCAGAACTGTGCTTAGCCTGCCCTGACTGAGGGGGTCACCCACAACTCAACTGAACTCACTAACCAGGGGGCTCAGACACCAGACCCCTATCAAGAGTGAGAGGGGGTGGAGATGGGTGTTCCTCCTGAGGGGTGTGGGCTCTGTGTAAGGGGTTTAGACATGGTTTAATCTATTCCTCTTCAAAGATAGAGCTGAAATCACCTGCTGTGAGACAGTGTTTCTGCCCAGCCTGCTTCAGCACTGAAATTTGCTCACTAAGAGCTGACAGTCACTGAGAACTGGGTGGAGACTCAAGAGAGCGACCTGCAGAGGTCACAGCGGAGAGGCCGGGGGCGGCAGAAGGTGAGGGTGAGCAGAGTGGTGAGTGGCTGGCAGGGCAGCTGCCACCAGAGCAAGCACTCAGACAGAAGAGCGAACCAGGCGCTCTAATCCCTGCCCACATGGTGGGAGCTGAACTCACACAGGTTCACCTCTGAACTCTGGGTCTTCACTAACCAAGGACAACCACTGTGAGTGGGGTGCAGTGGAGGGAGCAGGGAGCGGCACCTTAAAGGAATTTTTGGTTGCTGGACTCAAGAACCTGAGGCAAAAGACACTGCCCAAAATACCCCGGGGTAGGTGTTTTGCTCATGGTTTTATGTTTATAAATCCTGTTTGTGGTGTTTTCCCAAGTTAATGCCAGGGGGGTTCCCTCCTTTTATAAAAAAGTTTCTTTTCTGCGCTGAGACTCTGTGCTTGCAAGAGGGGAAGCTTTGCCTCATAGAAGCACCCAGGGGGTGGTGTGTAATTGTCCGAGGTTACTGGGTGGATGCTCAAGCTGGATCTGTGTTATACTGCTGGAAAGGAACCCCTAGTTATTGAAGCCAGCCCTAGTCACTTCTGACGTCACTTGCAGAAGGGTTACATAGATATCGACTTGTGACATACACAAAAGAAGAAGACTCCCCCCACTGATATGCAGCCACTTCTGGGGTAGGACAGGGAAGCTGAGAAACAGGACAGGGAAATATTTTGGCTGTGTAGGACAGGAAGTGAGGAAGAATTCTGTCTCCGGTGTCCATCTCTTGGGGAAGTTACAACTTCAGGACTAATTCCCTGAAATGCAAATCCGCCGGAACACAGTGCTTAGGAACCAGAGTCTTGAGAAATTGGCCCTGGAGTTTTAGCTTGAGTGAGCGGCTGCAGAATCCATTGACACCAAATCCAACCAGTGGAAGCTGCAGTTCCCCAGGTCCCCATTGTTCCGCAGAGGAGTCTGGCCCAGAGATAAGTAGACGCCAACTGGCAGAGGGCACAGGGATCCCTAGAGTTATACAGGGATCTCCTGGGTGAGATATATGCACAATCGCTCACCAAAGGTGGCATGTGAGGTTTCTTCCAAAAGCCAGCAGCCCAATGGTCGACCTAATGGGAGCAAGATGTTTGTATGGGACACAGTTGAAGAGAGATGTAAAATGTGGAATATGGGACTCCAGAAGTGTGGAAGTGAAGCTTGTCATCTGCGCCATGGCAATCCCTTCGGCAGAGCCAATCAGCACATAGAACAATGCACAGCTCTGGAGACAGGCCATATTCACTGTCTGGGCCCAGTGGGGGCCTGAGAATTTACAAAGACAAAGGACCCACAGCACAAGTCTCTGAAGAGAGACCTCCTCTGGGAAGAGACAATGGTCTGTACCTACAAAGAAAGAGGAGAGGGGACAAGAGCTCCCTTTCACCCAGGAGGCGGCTGACAGCGTTTGTCTCAGGAACAGGAGATCACAGCCAAGCCTGGAGTAAAACCCTGGAAGGACTGTGGGGTGAGCGTTGCTCTACCAGACAGAAAAGTATCTTGTTCAATGAGTCTAGGCTCTAGTCAGAGTGGTATGATTTTATTGGCCATGGAACCATTTTTTTCCAACCCGTCTCCTTGCTACCCCTCGACTCGCTACACTCTGAAATCACTTGTCCTTGGTGTGACTATGAAGGAATCTAGAGCTGTGTGTTGACTGGGGCAGAGATGGGAGTTGGAGCTGGTCACCTTGGGACCCTGTTCCTTTGGGAGCAGCAGATCTGTAACTGCTGTGAATGCCCAGTGGGACAGGGACTGGGTGCTGCAGGGGGACGCTCGGAGGCCGAGGAGTGAAGTGTGTCTATTGCGAACCTGGATAGAGGTCACCCCACCACAAGACCTAGAGGGCACGGCTTGTGTGGCCTGTGGCTGAGGGAGTTGGGGAGCTACCCCCCAGCGGCCACAGACAAGGCTTCTTCATGCTAAGGGCACCACACTGGAGCATTAAGGCCAACACAACTGCAAAGGGAGAGCACCCCCAACTGACACACCCCTACCTGCAGCACAGGCCCCCTAGCACCGCACTAGGGCACTGGCGCCAGCACTGACTTCAAGGGGAGAGCGTGAGCGTCCCCTACTGAGCCCTCACACCGCTCCCTGCAGTACAGACCCAAAGAACCGCACAGGGGAATTAGGGTCAGCACAGACTGAGAGGAGAGTGCTCCCTATTGGAACCACAATATTGCTCCCTGAAACACAGGCCCCAAGCACCATGCTGGGGTCAGCACTGGGTGTGAGGGGACAATGCCCCTTAATGAGCTTCCCACTCTGCTCCCTGCAACACGCACAGTGGTAGATGGAGGTTACCTGAGCACACAACACCGGCATCTTCTCCGTGGTGACAGTTATTCTCTCCCCAAGGCCGAGCCCTGCAATCGGAGAGGGCAGCTTCTGTCCCTGCGCAGTTGACGTCATCCAGCCAGATAGGGTCTGATCCTGGCCCAAATCGAGCCCCTCCTGGGGCTGATAACGCCGTCCCACAGCCCAGCTGCCTGCACACTACTCCGGCATCAGTTATGTCCCAGCCATCATCACACACGGTTCCCCACTGCTGGTTGTGAAGCACCTCGACGCTCCCAGCGCAGCGACTCGGGCCATTCGCCAGTCGGAGCTGAGTTAGTTCTAGGACGCCTGAGTCTGCAAATACCCCAAGGGAATAAACACTCAGGGATGGGCTAGAGGAAAGGAATATGGGGCTTTTTCCCTATTGTTTTTTCTGGCTTCCATTCAGTCCCTGTGTGGCAGACTGGCGGGCTCAGGGGGGCTGAGAAAAGGACACTGGGGGGTTCCTCTCTGGAGGTCACCAGCTCTGATCCAGCCCCAGGCAGGGGGGAATGGCTGACTCATGGGATGGAGAATGGGACACAGGGTCTTTCCCTCCAGGAGAAGCTGGCTCCAGTACAGTCTGTGCGAGGGGAATGAGCTGACGCTGTATGTTGGGAGAAGGAGACCTGGGGCTTTTCCCCTGGATGGCACCAGTTCCCGTTTGGCCCCAGCTCAGGCAGGGGCAGTGGCTGGTGTGGGGGGAACAGGCACTGGGCTTTCACATCTGAGGCCCTGGGTCCAAGCTGGTAGTGAGTGAAAGTCGCAGCCATTGCAGCTCTCTGATGCCCAAAATGTGAAATGAGCTGCTGGGGTTAATTCCCCTCCATGACAGGACAGGTGTGTGCAGGCCAGGCCAGCCCTCAGTCTGAGCGGCTCCCAGCCGAGGGGCAAAGAGCGTAATTGGTCAGGAAACTGAACTGCCCTTTGCCCCTGCCTGGGCTCCCTCCCTGTCTGCACCCCGATGACCCTGCCTGACTGGAGCCAACAGCAGCTACTCCATAGGGTTGTAGTTCTGCTCCTCCAAAGTCTCCACTGGCCCTGACCGGGCTCCTCTATATTCCACAGCGTCCAGACAGACAGGGCCAGTGCCATGCTGAACTGAGCACTGTCCTGTGGTGACAGCACCTCGGCAGCTCAGCTCCTGGTACCCCACCCCCACCTCCCGCAGGCCCCAGCTAGCATCACAGCGCCCCCGTGTAGGGCTAGGTCTACACTACGGGATGGGGGGTCGACCTAAGATACGCAACTTCAGCTATGTGAATAGCATCGCTGAAGTTGTGTATTTTAGGTCGACTTACCTGGCTGTGAGGATGGCGGCGAGTCGACCGCTGCTGCTCCGCCGTCGACTCCACTTCCGCCTCTTGCCGCGGTGGATTTCGGCAGTCAACGGCAGAGCGATCAGGGATCGATTTTATCGCGTCTTCGCTAGACTAGATAAGTCGATCCCCAATAGATCGATTGCTACCCGCCGAAGATGTGCCCTAGGTAAACAGCACCTCCACTTGCCCTTTGCAGGGGTGGGGCCACTCACCAGCCACAGCCAGAGCTGAGCTGAAACAGCTCTAACTATAACTAAAGGCAAGATTATCTGTTGGGGCAGATCATACCCCAGGGTAAATCTGGGGTCACCCACACTGACGCAGCTCAACCAGGAGCTGCCAGAGCCCAAATTTCAATCAGCCTTATCATAGAATACCAGGGACCTCAGGAGGTCATCTAGTCCAACCCCCTGCTCAAAGCAGGACAAATCCCCAGACAGAGTTTTGCCCCAGATCCCTAAATGGCCCCTTCAAGGATAGAACTCACAACCCTGGGTTTAGCAAGCCAATACTCAAACCACAGAGCTATCCCTCCTCCTCCCTAGCCTTACAGGGCAAGGGTGAGCCCTTGAGACACTGAATGACTGGAGCATTTCCACAGGTACCCAACAGCCAGGATGCCCTGTGCTCTGCTCACTCTGCCACACAGCCCACCTTGTTAACAATTCATTGGGGGGGGGGGGGGAACTGAGAAAGTGATGGGCTGAGACCATGGGGTGAGTCTGGAGGAGGCAGGATTTGAACCCAGGTCTCCAGTCCTACACTTGAACGACTAGATTAAATAACCTTAACTCTGCCCTTCCTCGCCCCAATTTATGAGAGAGCTGCACACTGCAGCATGCACCCCGCACATATGGACAGACCCCCGCACCCTCTGCCTATGTTTGTATTTACCTGCCATGGGGAATCCTGTCATGGAAGCTGAAAGAAAACAAAGAGATAAGGTAAGTCTCTGTCTCCATGGCTGGTCACCTTGGGGATCTCCAAACACAGGCTGATATAAGCAGTGGCCTGAGTGAGCTCTCCCCTGCCATCTCTTGATGCACTGAGAGAAAAGACTCAGGTGCATGTTGTATTTCAGTGACCTCTCTACTGCCTCTCAGGGAGGTGGATTAACCCTCCTATCCCTCCTGTCGGCGTCAGTTGCATCTACGCAAAAGCACTGTAGCTGCAGAGCTGCCACTGGGCCACTGTAATGTTTCCAGTGCAGAAGAGCCCTAAGTAGCCAGCAAAAGACAAGACCTGGTGAGCGACATCAGAACCAATGACAGTGCACCAGCTCTTCCAAACCAAGCCACCTGCTTTCACACTGCCTGCTTCGGTGAAGGACCCCCACACCCTGCTCCCCTCCAGCCTGGCTTCCCCCTGACCTGGAGTGTGACAGCCCTACACTCTGTGTAATGGAGTGCTAAACTGTATTATACTGCTCAGCCACTAGGTGGCGATGTGTGTAAAATACCTTTTTTAAAGCTAACCTCAGCCATATCTGGCAGAGCATTAAAGGACCGTGGTATGTAAAAGCAAGCTCTGTGACCAGTCCATGTCTGGTACAGAAGAACACGATGGTGTCTGGAGTAAACTAAGAACAGAAATAGAAGGAACAAAACTACAAAGGTTGCAGGATCTCATCACCATGGCCACTCTTCAGTGCCCCAGAGAACTTCAGCTTTCACAAACTTCACCATGGACAGACTGGAAACAAGATTTCACATTGCTGCCAAGCTGCACAAAGAAACTGGAGAGATGCAGGTATCTTCTTTAGTGTCGGCTACGGGAAGCTGGCAGAGCATATCTTTAAATCCTTTCATGTTACTGAAGAGAGTCATAGAGGTGACTATGAAAGGGGTCTGGCTATGTTAGATCCATACTTTATACCTCAGAGAAATTCAGCTTATGGAAGAGCTTGTTTTCACCAGAGAACTCAAGAACCAGGGGAAAGTTTTGAATGTTTTATAAGAGCTCCGCATAGATAGGCTGAAAACTGTGATTTGGGGAATGCAACGTTTGAAAATATCACAGACAAGCTGGTTATTGGGTTAACAGATAAAATCCTTTCACAGCAGCTACAACTGAAGAGAGATTTAACTCTAGCCACAGCTATTCAAATAGCAAACCAGTCTGAATTAGTCAAACGACAGAACAAAAGACAGGAACAACTTGAAAAACATGAAACTAGCTTAGGCAATGTCTACACTAGCACTTGCTGCAGTATAACTTACGTCACTCAGGGGTCAGAAAAAGCCACCCCCGAGCGATGTAAGTTACACCGACCTAAGCACCAGTGTGGACAGCGCTATGTGGGTGGAAGAAGCTCTCCTGACCGACATAGCTACCGCCGCTCACGGAGCTGGAGTAGTTAAGCCAACTGGAGAGCTCTCCCATCAGCTCAGAGCGGTTACATTAGAGAGCTTACAGCAGCACCACTGCATCGCTGCAGCTCCACCGCTGTAAACTCTCTAGTGTAGCTGTAGCCTTAGAAGGTTTAAACAGATGCTAGAGTGTTAAAGCTTATTATCATAATACCCCTGAAGCCAGGAGAGAGAACACCCAGGCTAAGAGGGACAAATCCCAGCCTACATGCACAACGGCTTAACCCCTGAGGGAGAGTGGACCCCCGAGAAGAGCTGTCGCATTGAAGGGGATTCCTCCCAGGGACCTTACAGAGCCAAGAGAGAGCACGAGTCCTGTGAGTCCGTGACATCCTACCTCTGTGGGACCTCACAGTGGCTCTTGAGACCCCAGGACTGAACCTGAACACTAGATACTATGGCAAAGGGGCTTCCAAATTGCCTTGTCCCCTCACCACAGTACCTCCTCCCCAGTTTCTCCTCTTATTCACATTGGATACATCTGCGAGTTGGAGTGCTCTCGCCCGGCTAGTAGATAGATTCCCAATGAGTAACATTCCCTTAACTGGGGTAGTAGCTTTTTCTACACCTAAGCTGTTAAAAGGGCACAGACACAAAACGCCAACTCGAGTACAACAGATTTATCTCTCTCAGGAACAGCCTGAAACTGGGAGAAAACTTGTTAGCAGGCTACAGAATACACTAAGCAGCTGAAAGGTTTTAAAATATACTAAACAAATCGTCACACTGAGGACTACACCTGGATGGGAAGCATACTGAACTATTTACTCTGTGTGTACACATACAAACCAACACACTTTCAGCAGTAACAGTCTCTTCTCGCGATGCTGAAATTTGGCTCTTTGGTTTGCTAGCCCCAGAAGGGGGTATGATGAGGGCGATTTCCCATCCCCCGGGTTATGGCTTCCCTCGACGTTCCACACAAATTATCGCAGCAGTGTCCAGACCCCACTTTTTTCTCTTTTTGTGCTAGCCCCACATCTTCTCCCCCAAGAGAGAGTGCGGTGGGTCACTAGATGTTGTTCCCCAGTAGCTTTTGTGAGTGACGAAGACCCACCTCCCACACCAGTAGATGCCCCAGCCGAGTACTCACCGGGGCAGCAGGCTGCTCAGCCCCTGTAGCCAAGGGTCAACTGAAAAGGAGAGAAATTGAGAAAAGAAAAACTCATCCTTCTCTGAGCCACGGACTCCACTGAGAGGTGGGGTTCCCTTTATCCAGGCCGTGCAACGCTAATGCAGGGGCCTAGCCTCAGGACCAGGTCAGAGAAGTCTCTGCAGAGCTGGCTGCCGTCATCAGCCTGGCTCAGGGGCTGCTGAAAATGCCCCGGGCCGGGGTAGTCATGGCTCCTTGCAGAGTGGGTCTCAGGGTGGGGGGGTGGAGGAGGGCTGTTTCTGGGCCCTCCCTGCTGCCCACTCACTCCCCCTCGCTGGGTCTCTGCCTGTCTCCTGCTCCCTCACAGCAAGGTCCTGACCCCGCAGGTTTCCCCTGCAGCCCCTGTCTCTGCTGCTGGGTTTGGTCACTCCATGGGGCTCTACCAAGCTGAGCCTGTCACTGTGTCACGGGGGGCCCTGTCCCCTCACCAACCCTCATTCCACCCCCCTCAGAAAACCTCGTCTGACCCCTCACCTTCCTCACTGAACCTTGCCCCACTCACCACTCCTCACCCCGCCTCCTGACTGATCCTGGCCCTGCCGCCCCACTGCCTCTCATGCCACTCACCGACACTTACCCCACTTACAGGCCCCACTCCCCTCACCAACCCTCACCCCGCCCTCCTCACTGACCCTGGCCCGGCCTCCCCATGGACTCTCGCCCTGCCCCCCTCACCAACTCTCACCATGCTCACCGGCCCCACTCCCTGCCCCGCCCCCAGCCCCTCATCAACCCTCAGCCCGCCCCCTTGTTGGCCTCACCCTCTCAATGTCCCTGACTCCGCCCCTCACTGACCTGTGACCCACCCCCCTTAGCAATCCTGGTCCTGTCCCCGCACTGTTCCTGGTCACATTCACTGGCCCTGCTCCCATCACTGACCCCAGCCCCACCTCACTAGCTGACCCTGACTCCACTCCCCTCAGTGACCCTGTCCCTGTCCCCTCGCACTGACACTCACCCTGCCTGTCTCACTGACTATCGCCCTGCCCTCCGACCAGCCCTGGCCCCACCCCCTCACCAACCCTGGCCCCACCCCCCACGGACTCTCGCCCTGCCCCCCTCACCAACTCTCACCCTGGGCCCTGCCCCGGCCTCTCATCGACCCTGATCCCTCCCCCTTGCTGGCCCCACCCTCTCAGTGTCCCTGACCCCGCCCCTCACTATCCCTGGCCCCGTCCCCTTACTGACGCTCATCCCACTTGCTGGCCCCAGCCCTGCCCCCTTCCTTACTCCAGCCCTGCCCCACTCACC